ATTTGAGAATTATAGATCATTTGAAGACATCACATTTATTATGTCACAATGTCTTCTAGAATTTTTAGTCTTTCAACACAGTATCACATATAGAAATAACAACTCACCCTAACATTGAAGTCCCATGACATGAACATGTGTTTAAGGTGCGGGCTACGTGGGAAAAACATAGAAGCATTTTATGTGCCACTTATCATTTTGTTGGCTTTGCCAGACTCGTGATCCCTAGAGCCTGAGGCTAGACTCTGTAATCATCTCTTGATGACATAGCTTTAAAGCTAATATTGTGATTATCCTCAGTATTATGATCCAGCATGGGAGCCTGAGAAGAGGTGGAAATGTATTCTTTATTCCCCACAGTCCAGTAAGATGGACTGCCAGCCCACATTGGTACCACCTCTACCCTCCAGCCAGTTTTCTCATCACTGCAGGCTGCTTTCTAGTCTTGGATGGCTCATCTTTTAAGAGGGCCTGCTTAGTGTTGAAGGAGAGGGAGGCCCTTTCCATTGCATTCTCTTCTCCAGCAAGAGGGTTGGGGTCAAAGCCCAATTTTAGCATATTGGGCCTGAGAGGCTGTGATGAGTTACACCCTATAGATTAGATGCCCAAGATCTCATCAGAAGGCTGGTCTTGGATATAGTTTCAGATTCAGAAATGACTTGTGGCCAGAATGAAGTTTGACCCATTTGTAAATAAGAAAAGGAAACCTAGATCTCAACAGCAAGGGCAGCAAAGAGCAGGCTGTCCTGTCCTGCCCCTTGTCCCTATGAGTAGTTTGAAAGTCACAGCCCATACCTATCCACCAGTGTATTATCTAACTAGTTCCAGGCAGAGTACACTCTGGCTTGGGTGGCCTTTATGGCCTGAATGCCTGAAATAGTTGCTGTCTAGACTTTTACATTAGAAATTTACCAAGACCTGGTCCTCTGGGGCTGAGATCTTTTAATGTTATTAGTAATGGTGTTGAATTAAACTTGCCTTTTTATTTTCTCTCTCTTTTTTAAAAGCTTGCTTTGTTTATGGATGACTTAAAAACTTTTGAGCATTGCATTCTAGAACCTATAATTACATATGCACTCTTCTAATGGCTGCTCTAGAGAGGCAGAGGCAGGGGGATCTCTGTGAGTTTGAGGCCAACCCGGTCTCCAGAGCGCGTGCCAGGATAGGCTCCAAAGCTACACAGAGAAACCCTGTCTCGAAAAACCAAAAAAGAAAAAAAAAAAAAAGAAATTATACTTAGTTCTTACTTTTCATGGTTCAAGAGTTATTAATCCTAAGGTTGGGGAGATGGCCCAGTTGCTATGCAAACATGATGGCCTGGGTTTGATTCTCAGCATCCACCTAAAAAACAAACAAAAAACCAGGGAAGGTTTTTAGCTAGTGCTAAGGAGACAAAGAATAGGAGAATCCCTAGGATGCACTGGCTACCAAGTCTAATTGGGTAGGCTCCAGGTTTAGCGAGAGTCTGTTTCAAGAAAATAAGAATGATTACAGAAGACACTTGGCAGCAAACCCGGATTTTATCTCCACAGTGTACTTACAGACAGACACAGACACAGACACACACACACACACACTCATACTAACATTATACTTTGAGTGAAACACAAAAGTACAGCAGTCAGACTGGAAGCAACTCCCATTGACTGAATATTTGGACAGACAGTGGGTACAATCTATATGACAAGAAAACTTTGACTACACTCAGTGGCAACCAATCCTAGAAACCAAACTTATCTGATAATCTTCTTAGAATGTGAAGGGGATCTTCACAGCAGGATCTCCACAACACAGGACAACAGGATATCCAAGAGGAGCCCCAGTGAGATCCCATTGTCAGTGGTGTAGCAGAAACCAGAGGCCTTGAGACAGATCAATGACTCATGGCAATGAACACTCACGGGTAAATATGAACATACTAAAGGGTATGGGTCTCAATAGGTCACACTACAGCTTCCACAAGATTCTTCGTTTTTTTTTTTTTGTTTTTTTTTGTTTCGATTTTGGTTTTTCATTTCAATTTGGTTTTGATTTTGGGGTGAAGGTTGCAAGGATAGAGGCTGCATGCAGTTGCAAGGATAGAGGCTGCATGCAAAGGGACAGGGAGATACGTGGGATCAGAATGCATGATGTGAAATCTACAAAGAATCAACAAAATTAAAAAAAAAAAAAAAAAGAAAGAAAAAAAATCTGCTCAGAATGGCCAGTACCTGCTAACATCCTAATATCTTGCTCCTACTTCCTACTTGGGTCTGAACAAAAATTGCAAGTATACCCAAATGCTGCCTGGCACCTTCTAGTTTATTCAAGTTTTTTTTTTTTTCTTTCTTCTTTCCCTTCCTGTTGTTTAATTGATAGCTGACCCAGTGTGATCTACAGGAAGCCCCAATCCCCAAGTACTTTAAAAAAAAAATTAAGTTTGCATTATCAGCATAAGAGAAGTAAATTTCATATGGCATTTCCATACATGTCTTTATAAGTTTGTTCTATTCATATTCCTCTCCCAACTCTGCCACAGTCCCCATACTCTAATTCACACTCCCTTTTACTTTCATGTAAAGTTCCATGCATCCCATTAACCCTTTCCCCACCTCTCAGAGTATTCTTTCCTGGCCTGTACTTATGTATACATACTGTGGTTGTTTGAAAGAACATAGCCCCCAAAAGGAGTGGCACAATTAGGTGGTGAGGCTTTGTTGGAGGTAGTGTGTCACTAAGAAGCTGGACTTTGAGGTCTCACATATGCTCACGATACCACCCAGTGTCTCAGTTCTCTTTCTGTTACCAGCATATCAACATGTAGGGCCCCAGCTCCAGCACCATGCCTGTCTGCATACACACTGCCATGTTGCACCAAGATGATAATGGTAAGAGACCAAGATGAAAATGTAAGAGACCCCAGTGAAATAGTTGCTGTGGACATGGTGTTTCTTCACAGCAACAGAAACCCAAGCTAAAACACATACACACATAAACATATGCAAAACTTAATCTAGACTCTGCCTATGCAGTGATAACTTGTCTGAGTCTTGCTTCTTTTACTTAACTTCATTTCCATCTCTATCCCCTTAGGAAAACCGGAAATGAACATTTGAAGTTGCTAGAGCCTAGATAAAGTGAAACAAAGACAAATCTGAGTTGGAAATCAAGGAACAAATATGTCAGCACAGTCATGTTTTGTGAAAACTTGCATTGCACTGCATGGTTTAGTACCAAGCTGCCCTAGAAGCACAAACTGTTACTATAGCAACTGCTGAGGAGAGTAAGCAGGGACAGAAATTCTGTAAGCAAAGCCTTTCATCAAGTTATTGCACCAGGTATGGTAGTATGGCAGAGGCAGGGGAGAAACTTTGTGAGTTGGAGACTAGGCAAGTCTACATAGTGAGACGAGACTGTCTCAAAACAAAATGAAAGGTCCCTGCATTTCTTCACTAGGCACTGCTCTACTTCTATTAGTCATGGGAGTTCCAAGGAGCTGACTCGGCAGTCTGTCAGCTTGTTGGCTGTTACAGTGGCAAAATAGGTCTTTGGATGGCCTCACTCTAACCTTTTTATTTACTGTTCAGTGCTGGGGAGAGAACCCAGGGTGTTGCACATGCCAGACAAGTGATCTACCTAAGCTACAGGCCTATATATGTAACATCCTCAAATGATTACATTTTGAAAAATGGTCAGTGCTGCCAGGGGTTGGGGAAGTAAGTGCTGTTTGTAAGAAGAACCCAATAAATATCCCTGTTATTAGAACTGTTCCGGATCTTGCCTTTGATGGAGGGGGCAGATGAATATAAATAAAATTGTTTAGAACTCAATATGGAGACCACAACTGGGAAATCTTGACAAAATGGACAATGCTTTAGGAATATGCTGCTCAATTTCTCTACTATTCTTTGAAAAAACATTTTATATACAAAGATGTTTTGCCTGTATGTATGTCTGTGAATAACATGCATGCAGTATTCATGGAGCCCAGAAGTAGGCACTGGATCCTCTAGAACTAGAGTTACAGACAGCTGTGAGCTGTCCTGTTGGTACTGGAAATCAAACCCATGTCCTTTGGAAGAGCAGCCAGTGCTCTTAATCATGGAGCCATCTTTTCAGTCTATAATTCTTTTCACGCATCTACAAGTTATATGGGGAAAAAAAGCCATTTAAATAAATACAAAACAGTTTTGGGGGCTGATAAGATGGGTAACCCGGTGAAAGAACTTGCCTCAAAACTTCACAACTCAAGTTCAATCCTTGGAACTCACTTGGTAGGGGGAACACCCACTTCTGTCTTATTTAGGTCTTTATTGCTATGATAAAATACTATGATTAAACGGTTTATTCCATCTTATTTTAAGGTCAACAGTCTATCATTGAGGGAAGCCAGGACAAGAACTCAATGTAGGGATAAGGTGAAGGAACTGTTGAAGCCATGGAGGAGTGTTGCTTAATGGCTTGCTCAGTATTGCTTTTTCTTATACAACCCAGGGCCACCTGCCCAGGAGTGGCACTACCACCTGTGAGCTGAACCTTCCTATGCCAATCATTAGTGAAGAAAATGCCTTACAGACTTGCCTACAGGCACTCTGATGAAGGTATTTTCTCAGTTGAGGTTCCTCTTTCCAAGTATCTCCAGCTTGTGTCAAGTGGACAAGATACTAACTAGCAAACTCTCCCAAGTTATTACCTGACTTCCTCATGCATGCCATGGCATGCAGATTTATGCATTCACTAAATAAATGTTAAAAGATAAAGAAATAAAATAGCTTTTAATAAGTGTATTTTAATAATGTACCATATCTAATTGGAACCTTTTAAAGCAATGGGTAAAATAGCAGGCATTTTATAATAGCAATTTAGATTTGATGATTTATGAACTATGTTTAGAGTGACATTGACCTGAATGCTTATTTTGACGCAAGATGCCAGCTTTGGAACTAATCAGCAGTATACTGGGTAAACACGGTCACTGGGCAAAAGTGAGGTAGCTACTGGGTCAGGAAGCACACAACAAACTAATGTCTCTGTTTATTGGGTAAATAGAATAACAAATTCAAGAACAATAGGAAAATAATGCATGATACTTTGATGAAAAATTACACATTACACAATACCATTTCTAACATAAATATTTCAATAGGTTGAGATTTTTATTCACTTGCTAAATATAGCAAATAAAACTCAAAATGCTAATTATTAGTCCTTGAGTTAATATTCTAAAGAATAAATTGTTGATGAAAACTCATTTTCCTTTAAATGAAACTCCTTACAGAAGTCAAGCTTGTCAGAACTCTGATATTGTTTTGAACATTTATCACTCTATAGTAGTCTTCAGTAAGTAGTACATTAGCCATAAATCAAGAAAACAAAAACAAAAAAATCACCACAAAGGAGTATCCCAGTTCAGTTCTTTAGAAAATCCATTTCAATGTGGCATTTTGTAAGGTTAGTCTACAGACATGGAGGAGCAAACAGAAATAGCCATAAACAAAAACTTTCTACCTTATTAGGCTCTTACTTTTGTATTAAAATAGGATGTGGGATACAGTACTGAACTTGTAAAGGTTCAATGTATTTATAATTTACAAAAATAAACACTCTTAAAGAAAAACACTGGTGGCATATAATTTTACTTTTACAGTGCAAACCTGTAACAAATAATGCTCTCAACAAATACTTTAAGACCCATCACTGACCAGAAAGTTCTGAACAAACTGTAGGGATCCAAGTATTTAACTATCCTTGTATTAACCTAAAACAAACCCATTCAGCCTTCAGTTTCTGAGTTAATCAGTTTTAGTTTCTTCATTGTTCTCCACCTGTCTTTTAACATGACACTTGTTCGGTTGTTGAACTTATAATGTGATAGTATTTTAGCCCAATTTCCCTCTCCATATTTCCTTACACCACACTTCAAAATTCTGTCCTCTTCCCAAAGCCATGTCTGTTGAAAACAAAACAAAAAACATAAAAGTTACTCAAAGAAACATTCTTTACAGACAATACATCTTTTTGAAATCAAAGCAATGCTTTGTTTCTTAAAAATGATTTTCCTATATATTTTTGTATATATGAACACACATACATATATGGTTTTATAAGACCTTACCATTTCCAAGTAACATTTCATGATAGTGTTACAGAAGCTTAGCCACCTAATATGGGACAGCTATATAGTGTCTATCTAACTTCAGGTTCACTGAGATATCTTAAAACAGCTTTCACCTACTTCTGAGTAGATCCCTCCACATTTCTAAATAGAACTAATGACTGTTTAGTACTTCACTAACAAACTCAGTGAAAATTCTCTCCCTGTGCCAGGGAAGGTACACACACACACACAGACACACACCACTCAAATCTCCTGTTATTTCAAAAATGCACTACTGTTAATTAAACACGCAACTTAAACTGGGAGAAAGTAATGAAAAATTTAGATAAAATCTAATACTTTGCATAGGTGACCAACTGATTATTCCTTCTTTTGGCATGATAAAGGAGGGGTTTGAGTGTCTAACACACTAAATTTGTACACTGATACAGCTGTATTATCTATAACACTAAAATGAGGAAGCAAGCAGGTATCCGTCAATGAATGAAAAAACTTTTAGCATATAGTTTATGGGGAATATTACTTATCATTAAAAGGGAAATTCTGGCAACATACTTAAGCCTTAAGAATAATACACTAAGTGAAATAATTTAGAAATGAAAAGACAAGTACTGGGGCTAGAGAGATGGCTCAGTGGTTAAAAGCACTTCTTGTTCTTCCAGATGACCTGGGTTCAGATCCCAGTATCCACACGGTAGTTTTTTAACTATCTGTAACTCAAGTTCCAGGGGATTCAATGCCCCCTTTTGACATCTACAGCATAAGGTACACTTGTGGTACACATATATACATTCATGTAAACAATCACATAAAATAAACAAATCTTAAAATAAAAATAACCCAAGTACTGTATGATTTCATTGATATGAGGTACCTAGAATGGTTAAACTCAGAGACAGGCAGTAAATGTGACAGTTACCAAGCATAGAAGAGAAAGGGGAAAGTAAGTGTTTTAATGGGTCCAGAATTTGTTTTGAAAGATAAGGGTAGACTGTGGCGACAATATGAAAATATGATTATGTTTAATGCTACTAAACTGTACACTTAAAAAGGATTAAGATGCAGTGAAGATATGGTTCAGCAGTTAAGAACATATTCTGTTCCTGCAAAGGATCTGAGTTTGGTTCCCAAAATTGTGATGGGTGGCTCACAACTACTTCTAATTCCAACTCCTGGAGACTTGACACTTTGAGCATCTTACTCACATGCATACCCCTAGCCCAGAAATATGTACAATTAAAAGTAATAAGTCTTAAAAATCCTAAGATGAAACATTTACCATTATGTATATTTTACTACAATTGAAAAAAATAAAATTCATATTAGAAAATTCTGGTTTTAAAAAAAAATCAATGTATCCTAAAGACAAATACGAGATGAAAACTATCTTACAGATGGGCTGAATACCAGAGAAACTGGCAGTGACCATAGCTAAAATCCTTTTAGGTTTGTATGCTACTATACATAGGACTGTGCCTTCTACTTGGTACCTTCACAATGACGTAATTCACAGCAAAGGAAAAGCTTGTTACAGGTAATTCATACTATGTAATCTTTGTGTGGAGGATATCCTTTTGAAAGGCATTTACTTTTTTCCTTTAATGGAATATGTTTATAAAAGGATCTGCAAATTTTAATGAGGCAGGCTCAAGTATTTTATTTAACAGACAAGAAAAAAAAAAAAAGAACTATCCAAATAGGAATTGAGTAATTTAAATGAAAAAAATTAAACAAATGAATGCTTCAATATAACATAAAGTTAAGTTTGTCAGCCACCTTCTGACATGAGTTCTCTATCACAAGGTCAATAGTGGACAACCGGAAAACAAAAACAGGAAACAATGGCACAATCAATCCATATATTCTTAAGATCATATAATTGATACTCTCCCTACAAGAGAAAAACTGTTCTCTGATAGTTGTCTATGAATGACACCTGTGCTCTATTCTCAAATCCAACTGGGGAAGATTCTGTGAGGCACAGGTTTCTGGTTTCCAGTTGGAAAAGCAAAGCACTTGGAAATTATCATTCCTATCCACAATGGGAAAATCAGAACAGCCTGAAAATTAGTCTTATATCCATCAGAGAATCAGTCATGGGTCAGATAGAAAAGAATCAAAGGAACTAATGGAAGCTGGTAGTGGTGGATGACTATAAATCCAGTATCTGTGAGGCAAAGAAAGGAGAAGCAGTAGCCAGATGTGGAAGCACATGCTTTAAATCCCAGCACCAGGGAAGCAGAAGCAGGTGGATCTCTTTTGAGGCTAGCCTGGTCTATAGGGTGAGTTTAGGACAGCCAGAGATACACAGAGAAACCCTGTCTTGAAAGGCAGCCTTAGCTACATAAAGAGTTTGAGGTTAGCCTGAGCTACATGATAGCATATTTCAAATAAAAAATAATACATAGTCATGACCCACCTGCCAGCTGGACAGCCCCCACCCCCTCCCTCTTCATCATCCTTCCTGAGGCCACCCCTTCCCCACAACAGATTCCATGGGCCCAGGTACAGTCCACACCAGTCTGAAGAACAGGTGAGTGAAACTTAAGGAGATCAAAGGGATACACATTGGAAACGAAGAAGTCAAAGTATCACAATTTGCAGATGATATGATAGTATATAAAAGTGATCCCAAACATTCTTATCAGGGAACTCCTACAGCTGACAAACACCTTTAGTGAAGTGGCTGGATACAAGATCTTCTGGAGGTATCACTATCCCTGATTTCACTCTAGGGGTACAACACTTTTTTTAAGTCTAACCTCCAGGATCTTTACCATATTTCAGGATAAAGATAATATAAAATCTGGTGCTACTTCTGTCATGGGTGGGGAGAAGAATATTTTGAAATACTCCCAAATTAAAAAAACTCCCATTCTCCTTCATGGGTATCTATTCTCAAAGAAGTTAATTTTACAAACCCCTAATTGACCACCTGTAGTCCCCTCTAGATTTCCTGATACCCAAGGAGTACTGGTGGTAAGTAGACTAAGAAGCACTTATGTAGGTCACAGAACAAAAGGTCCCCCCAAAAAAGCAGCATCTTAGAGATTAGATCACATATCAATTTGGATTAAAGTGGCCTTATATAACCCAGTATAAAAACAAACATCCAAAAACAGTACAAAGCATCACGGGCTAATGAAGTAGCTTACTGGTACAGTAGCACTCGTTTAGTATGTACAGGTCCTGCCCCAGCATGGTGATGTGCAGGAAGTAAATCAAATTAGCTGTTGATTATTTTGACTATTATGCTATTAGGACAGTTATCTATGCAAAATAACTTTGAGCCACAGGAAATATTCCTAGTGGGCTGATTCTCAAAGCTCTTACACTTGAAATGATTCAAGTGCTAATACGTTGAAAAAAAAAAAAAAAAACACATCTTAATTATAGTAAAAAAAAATTCCAGACACAGTAAAATGACAAGGGCTAGATTTATCGATCTATTGTCAAGAGTTGGAAAGTCAGATAAACTACTACATCAATAGTTTCACATACTGGACAAATGGCATTCTGATGACACTAAGTGGGAGGAAACAATGTCAACCCTGAAGTTTACTTAATAAGATCTGATCAATGCTGGGTGGTGATAGTGCATGCCCTTAATCTCAGCACTTGGGAGGTAGAGGCATGAAGATCTTTGAGTTCGAGGTCAGCCTGGTCTACAGAGCGAGTTCCAGGGTAGCCAGAGCTACAAAGAAACCCCATCTTAAAAAACAAAACAAAAATCCCTGATGAAATTTTGTAATTATTTTGTAATTTCTGTGTGGTTTTCAAATGCGCTAAGAATCTTATTTAAGTTAGGCCTATTAGAAAAAACGAGTATAAATACTTTAATGTTTATAAATATTACTCAAATGGAGTGAAAAATACCTGTTTTTTCTTACGCCTGTGTTTCTCATCAGTGTCTGGCTGATTCTTTGAAATATATAATCCATTCCTTGCAGTGGTTTTTCTGTTTCCTTTTGTTGATATTTCACCTACGAATAAAAACACTAACATTAATTCCTCCTTCACATTAGAAGAAAGGGTATACTTTCCAAAGGTTACCATGAAATTCCTGTTTACTTTAGCAACTATAAAAAAATGAGCTCTATATGTTTAATTATTTTTCCTTCAAAGCTGGAAGCAACATAATTCTAGGAATCCATCTGACTAACACAGAAGGGTCCTCTCACCTGCAGAAACATACTTTATCACCTGCATAAAGAAGGAAAAGTGCTTTTGGTAGAGGATCACTGATATGTTTTATGATATTTAATAACAGAATACATATTCTTCTCAGATATACATCATCAATGATTACCAAGACATACCAACAGTAGGCCATACCATTAAAAAAATTCTTTAAGGAACTGGAAAGATGATTCAGCCAGTAAAGTTCTTAGTGTATAGTCTGGTTACCCAAATTCTATACCTGGTGGAAGAAGAGAACCAACTCCTGGAAACTGTCCTCTGACAACTGTCACTTGGGAGGCAACAGTAGGAGGACTACTGATAGTTAAAAGTTCATGGCCCACTTAGGATATAGGTACTTTTTGTCTACTATAAATTTTCAGACCACAAGGTAATTAAATGGGAAATCAATAATAGATATTTACAACAGCCTTAATTATTTGGAGAGTAAATAAGCAAGTTCAAAGTGAAAAATCACTTTAATTAAATGGAAATCCAAAGCCAAAGCAGCAATAAAGGAGGGATTTCTAGTACTTAGTGCATGTCAGAGGAACTCCTGGTCAGGTCAGAGAGAAAAGTAACTCATATACAAAGATGGGATAAGTCATGTTAATGTCAGATTTCAACACTGTAGCAACTCAAAATCAATTTGTTTGCAAAGCTGTGACCAAAAAATATTTCTAAAGAGTATTACATTTAGACAAAAAGTTTTAAAGAAACACAAAGGATAGCAGATTGTCTTCAGAGTGCAAGAATTTAGAAACTATCGACTTAAAAAAAATCCAGACAAATAGGAAACAAAATAAAGATGCAAAGAAAAGGGAATCCTGACTACAGGATTCATGAAGAATAAATTTAAATCAGTAAGGTAGAATTTCATAGGGACTTTATCAAGAAAATAATGCTATAAGCCTTGATTATACAAAACATAAGAACTAGGTATGGTGTCACACACAAGTAAACTATGGCCAAATAAGAGGATCACAAGTTTGAGATGGGACCAGATTACACGGCCAGATTCTGAACTGAACAAAATCAAAATCACAACAATTTGTTTAGTTTGATTCCAAACCAACTAAAAACAGCTAACTAAGAAAAACAGAAGATTAGCTTTTGGGGAGAGACTTTTGCTTAAAGAATTCTACATTCTAAAGCTTAAATTTATATTTACAGACACAAAGAGCCAATTTTCTATTTCAAATTCTTTATCCAAACTTAAAAAATCATTTATGAATAGACATGTGTGTGTGTGTGTGTGTGTGTGTGTGTGTGTGTGTGTGTGTGTGTGTGTGTGTGTGTGTGTGTATGTGTGTGTGCGCGCGCGCGCGCGTGCACACCACTGTGCCTTTAAATAGAGTAAACATAAAACAAGACTGTGTATTCATTAGCTGATAAAAATGTTATAGAAAGCCGGGTGTTGGTGGTGCACGCCTTTAATCCCAGTACTTAGGCGGCAAAGGCAGGCAGGTCACTGTGAGTTTGAGGCCAGCCTGGTCTACAGAGCAAGTTCCAGGTCAATCTCCAAAGCAATACAGAGAAATCCTATCTCAAAAAACCAAAAATATTATGGAAGATCAAGGAACCCACTTCCCTGGAAGTACTGATTTGGAATTCACTTATGCAATGTTAATAATGAGCTTTGATTCTTCATTGTGCAAAAAAGTCTGAAGTTGCTAAATACAGTTAAGGAGAAAATCAATGTGACTAATAGCCAAATAATTCAGACTAGACCATCAAGAAAGAGCTAATTTTCTAAAGCTGGCTTTGGTCATCTGAGGTGCATTTTGTGATATGGTGGTAAGGGTGGCCAGCTACAGTATTTCTCTCTTTTTCTACAACTATAGTTAATAGTACTCACTTTGAAGAATTCCCATTCCTTTTTCTTTCTGATTAAAATCTGGTTGACAGCTTCCTTGTTTCAACTTAGATAAGGCATTCTTGTGACACCTAATAAAACATGAGAGCTTGAGATTAATTCCAGAGTCTAGTGAAGGTATAAAAGAAAAATGATTTGTTACCTCTGCTATAGGATCTTCTACATTGGTCTATTTCCCTTGTTGCTCTCTTTACTTAGTGACCCACATTAATTTTTAATATTTCTATTGTCAAACTTTCTTTTATTTCATCTTTCTACAGTTCATCTACTCAGAAATCATGACTCTATCAGCTTTCCAAATGGACCTAGGAAAAACAAAACAAAAACAAAAGAACTCCCAAATACTCCTTAAATTACAGGAATTTATTTTCCTTCTCTCCTGTGGTTTCTAAATAATTTTCAGTAGGAGAATTTTCAAAATTCGTTTATTTGATGATAGACCATGTACTTTCCAGCTTCTGGAAATAATGGACGTGGCATATTTTTAACAGCCCTATAAAGCCAGTATTATTCTAGTTTTATATAGAAGCAAATTAGAACCTAAAAAGCAGTGTGCCTGTACTTATATAAGTATGTTAGCCCAACCTAAAATGTAGACATTTTAGCTATACTTTCATTAACAAAACAGTCTGCAACTCTTCCTCGCCTTTCCTTTCTTCTAAAATGTTCTATTGTGTTATTTTGTATTCTCTAGAATGCTATTTTCAAACTCTTCGCCTCTTAAGTCTAGTGTCCACCTCTATCCCTGCTCCACCTTAGGACAATATTTCTCTCCTTTTGATCTTGTCAAAAAGAGAACAGCTTAATCTTCCACCTCCCACCAGTCACGGTATTCCAACGATGGGTCTTCACACCATTTGATTTTACAGTGCTGGGGACTGTATCTGGTCCTTATACCTGCTAAGCAAGTGCTCCATCACCATGCTCTATCACCAGCTCCAAGAATTTTTATCTCCTAATGAATGTTACTCCTGCTTCCACAGAATCTCAGCCACTCAGGAATGCTACTGATACCTTCTATCATTCTTCTATAATTCTTGCCAGTCATTATCATTCTAAGAACTTACCACCATTTATGTATCTTTTTTATACCTAGAGGTGTGATTAAGAATTATTTCAAGTTAGGCATGCCTGTAATCTTAGCACTAAGAGGTGATTTTACAGTTAAGTTCCAAACTAGCCAGGGCTGTATATTGAGACCCTGTTCCCTCTCCTCCCCAGATATATGTATATGCGTGTACACACACACACACACACACACACACACACACACACACACAATCTAATACAGTGTTTTTATGGACAAACTTGTAACGTCTTGAATTTTTAAGTCGTAATCACCAATCCTTTCCATAGATCCACTCAGCAACCTTACTGATACCTGAAATCATCTACACAGACTTTTCAGCTCTTTGGACATGTTGGATTGTCTCTCACAGCATTTATAGTAGATCAAAAAGAGTTTTTAAAAATAATTTTATAAAATTAGAATATGAGATACACATAAGAAAATGTAGCTTCTAGTCCTTTCCTAAGCTAGCAGCAAGTCTTTGTTATTATGCTAGAATACCAGAATAAGCTCACATGCTCCGTATTATTAGTCTAATAGTCTATTAGAAATTATGGAGAACATCTCTAGATTCCGTATCAAAGTCTTTATAGCTAGAAATCCAAAAACATTTCAGGGTTTTGAATATCTGTTGAGTTAAAGAGGACTCTGAGCTGTATCTAATCATACCATTTACATGCCAATCTTAACATTTAAATCTACATGAATTGCTTTCATCAATGATTTTAGGGATAAAGAAAAATGTCACTTTACCTTATTATGGATTCTGCATCCACTAAGGATTCAGTTTCTGACTGTTGGTCATTAATACTTTAAAAGAAAAAAAAATACTAAGAATATATACAAATGGAACTTTGTATAAGAGAAATACTTGGCACAGTCAAGACATACTTCAACCCACAAGAAACATCTTGGAAAGTTAACCTGGTTGGATTAAGGACTTATGGAGTTCATTAAAAGGTGGCCACCTTTTGCTTAGATGTGCTTAAGAGGTACAAATCAAACTTCCCCAAACACAAGTTAAGCATAGTTAATACTGCAACCAAGAATTTATCATGTTTTCCTTTAGAAAACTATTCCATGAAGTTTTCTTTTAACAACTTTGCTGGAGTACAATTGACACATGAAAAATACAAGTGTTTAATGTATATAACTTGATGGGTTCAAGTTTATTTTGTCTCTCTAATCTGTTTCAAATTGAACTTTTGAGGGATGTGGTGGTAGGTGGGAAGTGAGATAATGCCTTATGTAACCCAGATAAGACTCCAACTTATGCCCCTCCTGCTTTAGTGTTCCCAGAAGCTTTTATGCTTTAGCATAAAAGCCATGCACATGACATCCACTTAGCTTTAAACCAAAACCAAAACAAACAACCCCCCCAAAAAACCTTCCTTTTGCTTTCACTAAAACAGCACCCAAAACCACAGCATGACCATTTTCAATTCTATTTTTCCAATAAGTCTATTTCTCTTTCCTGAAATCTCTCTCTCTCTCTCTCTCTCTCTCTTTCTCTCTCTCAATTTCTTTTAAAGTTAGGGTCTCATATAGTCAGATTGGTTTCAAAGTTGCTATATAACCAAAAATGACCTTTAACTTCTGATACTGTTTTCACCTCCCAAGTGCTAGGGTTACAGGTATATGTTACCATTCCAGGTTTTATACTAGGCTGGGAATCAAATCCAGGGCTTTGTGCAAGATAGGCAATTACTCTACCAACTGAACCATACCCCTAGCTCCACATATAAAAAATCTTAACCAGCTGGGCATACACTCCCTTGAATCCTAACACCTGGGATTTCCATGAGTTTGAGACCAGCCTAGTTTACACAGTGAGTTCTAAACCAATCAGTGCTACATAGTGAGACCTTGTCTCAAAACAAAACAAAATTTCCCTTCAAGGTTCTGCTCAAAACTAAAACCTCTGCCTATCTTAATACCAATGTTTAAATCTTATCTATAGTTTTGTGCTATAGTTTGTTTACTGCCTATAATTCTTGTTGCCTCAATGGCTTATAAGCTTTATTAGAGAAAATAGTTATCTCCTCCAGTCTTAAACATGTAAAATATTCAATTTTCCTGTCATTTGTCTATCTTCACAATCACACTTCCAATGTCACACCTGCTTCACTTGCAGCTTGTCAATCACTGTCCTGCTACTGGCCATCTGATGCTTGATTCTTCCCAGTTTGGCTTCCAGAATGGATTTGGTATTTGCTTGACTACCAATTTCAATATTTCAATCTTATTTCTAGTTTTGACTTTCCTCTCTGTAAATAGTACTCAGTTAAATTTTCCATATGTGTCTGGTAATGAGCCAGGCACAAAGGATACCGAGCCAATTAAGATGTTCAAAATTAATCAGGGCCCTTCAACAAGGTCTGCAGTACAACCCAGTGGGTACAACATTTGCTTAGGATGTATAAAACTCTAGGCTCAATAAAATGCCTGCACGCACACATACCAAACAAGCAAACAAAAAACCTCAAAGCAAATAAACAAAACAACAACAACAACAACAACAAAAACCTTCAAAGAATTCTTAGTATTATGATAAACAGATAATTTATTTCCAAAGTTAAGGTTGATCATGGATACATGACTTGATGGCTTGTACTGTGTGGGAGCACAAACCTAACAATCAGAGAGCTAGGCAAAATTTTACACAGGTGATCTTTGAGGGAGAATATCTTTGAATGGAAAATATGACCTTATCTTGAAGAGAACATAAGGCAGCAATCCAGGAAAGGAGGAACTAAGGACCTTTTCCAAGAAAAAAAAAGATAGTACTTTAACATCAGAGAAGTCTGTTCTGTGTTGCTAGACAGTGTAAGGCAGTTAATGCTTGAGTACTCACAGAAAACAAGACAGCAAATCTGCAAAAACATCCTTCTTTCCTCATCTTCTGATTTAAAGAGTTATTTACTTCTATGTGCATGAGTGTTTTGCCTGCATATGCATGTCCTCTGTGAGACACGGTGAGAAGAGAGATCAGATTCCTTGGATCTGGAGTTACAGATAGTAGTGAGCTACCAAGTAGTTAATGAGATGCAAACCTGGGTCCTCTGCAAGAACAGCAAATGCTCTTAACTGCTGAGCCACAACTTCAGCCCTGACAAGTTCTTTTTTGTGAGTTTGACAGTCTTGCTATATAAGTAGCCTAGGCTGGCTCTGGACTCAAGAGCCTCTTACTCCAGCCTCCAAAGTGCCTATAGGTACAGGCCATCATGTTTACCTTAGAAATTTTTTCTTTCCATATCATTTCACATATAGAACACTGTTCTGACAAGCTGGATGAAGTGGTGTACACCTGTGATTCTAGCACTTGAGAGGTGAAGGTAGGTGAGTCAAAGTTCAAGGTCACCCTCTGATACATTACCACTTTTGTGCTTTGAGGTCATTAAGTAAAATAAAGGTTACTTGAATCCAAGTACCACAATAATGTAACTGTCACCTGATAACTCAGACATCTGAAATGAGGGTTGGGAAGGCTACAAATACAGCAGATATCCTGGTCAAAGTATGACTTATATTACTCAGTTGTTAAAAAAATGCAATCATGAAACTCTTAGGTAAATGGATGGAGCTAGAAAAACAATCATCCTGAGTGAGGTAATTCAGACCCAAAAAGATAAATGTCATATGTACTCACTTATATGTGGACATTAGCTGTTAAGTCATAGATAAGCAAACTACAATCCACATAGCCACAGAGGTTAAGTAGACAATAAGGGACTGGGCAAAGAGGGAAAGGTCTCCCTAGGAAATGGAAATAGAATAGTTATAGATGGTCAAGGAGAAGGGCTGGAATTGGATGATCAAACAGGGAGGGAGAAGGAAGAAGGGAAAGGGAGAGAATATGAGGAGGGAAAGCTAAAACTAAGGGCCATTTGAGGGGTCATATGGAAACCTCATACAGTAGTAGTTTCCTATTAATATATACATACATGGAGGTGATCTAAATAAAACTGTCAAATAACAGGAGAGACACTGCCCCAACTGAATATATCTTGTCACCAAATGATGCTTCCAGTACTGGGAATGGGTTACATTTAATTTAGTTGTTAGCCAAAGGAGTTCCATGGGAACTCACAAACAACCTAGGCTAATGGCGGCTTTCCACAAACTGACAATAAGGCCCTATTGCTAAAGACAACACCTCACAACTCAATGAACATGGAGAAGTCCAGATGGTGCCTACATAGAGGCTTTATCCCTACTGACTACTGTTCATGGTACTGGAGTGTACTCTGCATGCTACCAAAGAAGATAGGTAAAGACCAACCTAGCTACAAACTCTTCAATCTACAATGATGACCCAGCAAGATATACTCGTGTAATAGTGACTCAAAACTTGTAGGAGTAATCTGTCAATATCTGATGGGAATTAAGGCCTACTCCGTAAGATGGAACCCAGGCCCAGCACTGTTTGGGTGGTCAAGAACCTGAGACTTGATTGTCCAGGGAATTAGGAGAAAAACAAATATTACTTCTGCTAAAGGAATATGGCAATAGAATGACTCCTAATGATATTCTGCATTACTCATAGATCTGTATCTTGTTCAAGCATCATCAGAAGCTTCCTCCTATAGCAGCCTGGAACAAACACAGAGACCCACAGCTAGATGATACAGAGTGAAAGGCCTTACAACACCTAGACTTAAAAGGGATGTCTCCATCAAATCCCTTCCTTCAGGGCTCAGAGAACTATGTGGAAGAAAAGACAGAAAAGAGTGTTAGAGCCAGCAGGGATGGAAGACACCAAGGAAACAATGCCTTCTAGACACTACAAGGTTGGCATACATATGAAGTCCTGATGGGGGAAGTCCTTCTGTGTGTGTTTGTCTTATTGGTTGATAAATAAAGCACTGTTGGCCAATAGGAAAGCAAAATAGGTGAGGCTAGGAGTCGAGCAGGATTCTGGGAAATGTAGTAAAGACAGGAGCCGCCATGTGATCCCAGGAAGCGAGGACACAAGGCTGGCATTCTCAGTAAGATAAGTTTTTATAAAATATATAGATTAATGGTTATGGTTGATAATTAAGACAGAGCTAGCATTTAAGAAATCCTAGTATTTGGCCAGCAGCATTGTAATTAATATAAGACTCTATGTGTTATTTGGGGGCTCTAATGTGGTAGTGGAACTCAGGCAGCTGGAGGAAAGTTGTTACAAATCCAGAGAATGGCAGCATGCACAAGGCTTACAAGGGTCTGTACCAGATGGGGTCCTGGTGCTGAGATGGGAAGTGGACACATGCTCCTATCACTAACCAAGAAACTATCTCCAATTGATAACCACTTGAAAATGAAAAATTAACTTTCACTAAGGGGGGGTCTCACTGGGGAAAGAAACCATTTTTAAGGGTAGGCCCCATGCCCAGAAGTAGATGGCCAACATAAAATGAATTCAACAGTACCTTTGGAGGGTCTTTGTCTCAATGTTAAGTCAAGGTATTTTTTTCCTTTTCTGTCTTACAGGTCCTTAGTATATATATTATTGCTCCTGGTTTTGATGGGATTCCTGAGGGTGTCATTTTTTTTTTTTTATTCAATTCACTTTTTTTTTTTTTTATTCAATTCATTCTTTTATAGATGCCTGTTTGTTTCCTAATGAGAGATGGAAAGGATGGGGATCCAGATGGTAGGGGAGATGGGGAAAAACTGGGAGGAGTAGGGAGAAGGGAAACCACAATTAGAATATATTGTATTTTAAAAAATCTATTTTCAATTTTAAAAAAAGTATGATTCATGTCCTGTCCTGAGTTCAATTTCTAGTATTATGAGCTAAAAGTTTCAAGTTGGGAAGAAATCTAAACATTTACCCTTGCAAAAGCCAACCCTGGAACTAACCCTAAGGATGTATTTGTGTGGTACCAAGCTATATTATAACCTTGGATACAAATCATCAGAAAAGTATTTCTGAGATGGGATCCTAATTCTTGGAAAGACAGTTGGATATATGAAGTCAAGGAGAGTCAAGAGTATAGAGAAGCAGATGAGAACATGACTTTACACTCTGTACTAGGTCTGTGTCTAGACTTCTGAAATAAGTGAGTACTACACTACATAAGGAGAGAACAAAGGAAATGGACTTAGTATCTCCAAGAATTAAGTTTAGGTTTTAATTCTATAGTATAGCACTATTACACTGGGCAAGAAGGCTTACGTTACACGAATGTACTGGCTCAGGATCATTTATTTTCCAAACAAAATAAAGTATTAGAGCCAAAATGCATATTTATTTCTCAACATGGATTGTTTGACAATGACAAAGTAGAACTTTAGTGCAGCCATTGAGACATGAGGAGCAAGCCATGCTCTGATACATAGGAACAAAAAGGAGAAGATTCTAGGATGATTTAGCCTTAGTCCTAAGGGGGTACAAGGAAGTGTTTATCTAACATGCAGCCCAATCCCCACCTCTAAATAAGTAGTTAAGATTGCATCCTTGGAACTGTAAGTATTATGTGGGCTATGAAATCTATTTGTCCAGAAATTAAAAGGTTTTAAGAACCTAGCTTTGAATTAAGTGCCCAACAACAGGAAGAATTTATCAAGGTTAAACAAAGAAATCTTAGGTTGATAAATGGCTCAGTGGGTAAAAGTACCCACTCTCTAAATCTGATTCAATTCCGAGAATCCATCCTGGAAGGAAAGAACCAACTACCTGAAGTCCTCTAGCTTTTATACTTGTACTGTGGTACACATATGAATGCATACAACACAACAACAGTAATAAATACAATTAAGAAAATAAATAATTTTTATAATGGTCAAATTTTATCTTCCTCAATAGGGTTAGCTTATAAAAATGCAATATCCACCCTTGGTGTCTTGAGAGAGAGCACAGTGAGTGGATAAAGGTTACTGCTTCTTTGCTGCCAAGCTTAACTATGGAGAAATTCATTATCTGGGGCCCACATGATAGAAAGCCAACTCCCATAGGTTGTTTGTGGTGATTATATTATTTATGGTTTATTAAAGCTTGCCTGAGGATTCAGAAAGCAGAGTCAGCCATAACTAAAGAGGTCAGGCAGTGGTGGTACACACCTTTAATTCTAGAACTCAGGAGACAAGCAGATGGAGCTCTCTCAGTTCAAGACCTCTATGGCCTACATAGGATTGAAGAGTAACAAAGCTCATGCCTTTGATCCCAGCACTTGGGATCACATACCTTTAATCCCAGCACTAGGGAGGTGGGAACAAGAGTGATATTGCTGGGCAGAGAAAGGAATGAAAGGAGGAGGAGACAGGAACCAGGAGGTTTTTCCCTGAGAATTCGTGGAGACAGGATTGCCATTTCAGTTGGGTAGAGGTAAGATATACTGGCTTGGCTGCTTTGCTTTGCTGATCTTCAGCTTGAAGCTTGAACCCCAATATGTCTCTGGGTTTTCAATTTTTGTGTTATAGTTGTTCTCTGACACACACGCATACATGTATGCATGTGCACGATGTTTACCTTCCTCCCACTCCCCAGCTGGGTGTGTGGCATATTCCTAGGAATGTAGCATTTGGGTGCTGCAGGCAGGAGGACCAGATCTGTTCAAAGTGAGCCATAGTAAATGTTTGATCAAGGGTAGCCGCAGTTACACAAAAAGCTTTCCAAAAGAATAAAACAAAAAACAAACATCAAATAAACACCACCTGTTGGCTAGGGATGTAGCTCAAACAAACAAAAATCCTAAAGCAAAACCAAACGTGAAAATCCCTGAAAATAACCTAAGACTGAATACTACCTTACAACAGATAGGATTAACTAGGGTACTTCAAGCATTGAAGCCAACTGCTGGTTTTTGTTTTTTAAGTAGAGTACCATATCCTTGAAAAATAAAGAGAACAATCTTAAAATACCAGAATAACTTAGTATATACCAAAAGAAAGTAGGAACTGACCGAATAAGAGGCCAAAATGAACCAGATTTCTAATTTCAACCTCATTTCTTAAGCACACCTTCACTAAAAATAGTAAATAAATCTATATACATTCAACTGGCATTTTCTCACTACTTTGCTTAACATATAGTCCATGTAAATTATGAAATAACTCTATAGTACTCTAAATATTCAAACCATCAATTAGAGGATATAGCAATTACTCAATTATTGCTTTAATAATGGATTACTAGCATCACTTATGTTAAAGACAAAATATTCCCAAGACCTTAAAAAAATATTAAGAGTGTACAAACCTTCTTCCTTTATTCAAATTAACTTCAGTTTCTGTTTCAGTATTAGTAGCATTTTGCTTATTCTTAGAAGCAAGTGTTCCTGCTTTCTCATTTTCCACTACTTTTGTTGCTGCCTTAAGAAAAAGTTGAATAATAAGTTGCAAAACACATTTTAAATTATTTGGGATAATTTAAAATTAAAAAAATATTTCTATCAAAGTATTGTGATAAAGCTAAAATGTGCTTGAATCAATTAATATTCCTCTGAGTCTGAGGTGAGATATGAAGTCAGTCAAAAATGAATAACATATTTTCATCAAGTAAAATAGGGAAAATAAAAATGTAGAAAACTCAAGAAGGTAATAAACATGCATTATATGATATATATATACACACGTATGTATGTATGTATGTATGTATGTATGTATGTATGTATGTATGATCCCTTGCTAGTGAATTTGAAATAAAAACACAGAGAAAATCAGCTAAGAATAAAATATGACTCGTTTAGAATAGAAAGATAAAGATTAATTTGTAATGACACTGATTTCTAAAAAGGAAAGAACACAGATGTGAAAGATTCTTAATACTGATTCTGTGACTATCACATGACAAGTCAGGGAACCATGGAAACAAATGGTATATGTAGAGGTCATTATGAAGCTGAATTCAAGGTACAATAAAAGTTTTAATATTGTGAACATTTTCAACCTCTTCCTTTGTATATGCTCATGTTGCTTAAAATATTTCATTTCTTCCATTAAAATGTAAATATACCTCAAAAAAAAAAGTTGAATATGGAGGGGAAGGAGATAAAAAGACTACATTTAGGCCTTTTAACCAAGGAACACATCATCTTCTTTGACAGCTGTAGCAGAAGTATCTGTTCATAGGCTAACAGAAGTCACCAAATTATTTTCACGATTCTGACAATGCTGGCACTACCTTAGTTATTGCTTGGGTTATAAGCATTATGGGAGAGTTTTTTTTTTTTTTTTTTTCTCTTATAAATATAGTCAATAGAGAGAATTTTTTCTAGGCAATTTTAAACAAAATGTTAGTGGCTGGAGACATGCCTTAGCAGTTAAGACCTTTTCTGGCCGAGAATGAGTTCAGTTCCCAGTACCTGAAGTGGGTGGCTCACAGCTGCTCCAGGGAATGTGATGCCCTCTTCTGGCCTCTGCTGGCACACATATACATGTGTCCATATTCATGTACATATCTAAATATTCTGAAGTACAATTACCTTAAATCAAGGAAAATATTTCACTTTAATCACCCATTAACTTAAGATTTGGGTTAGATTTTAAGAATTTCTCTTTCATCATAACATTTTCTCTCTCCTTGAGATGTGTACCTTCATCAGAAAAGTTGATGATTTTTCATTTAGCACACAATCCACATAACTCTTTATTTTCTCCATCATGAAGTTATAGCTGAAGTGTTGAAAAAAGGAGTGGTATGGATCTTTTTGAGAGATTATCCTGAGTAACTTCCTTCCTAAAGACTAAAGAAAAAAAAGAAATGTATTAATATAAAACAAATTCCAAATAAATATTTGATTGAAAAACAATTATTTTGTAAATATAAACTCAAAGAGATACAAGTAAGAGTTATAATTCTGCTTTAAAAGACCTTTTCTTCCTTTTCAATGCCCCTACATTTCTGAATGTTGTGTTTCAGACACATATGAGGAAACAAATTATAAACTTAACTGTCTACTACCCAGTTTAAAAACAAAACTATGGTTAAATCTGTTTAATTCCATAATCTGATTGCATCCTATATTTTGTCCTCACCTATAACATTACCCAAAACTCAGAATTTACTATCTTTACCAAGTCCTTGGGGCTGAAGTGTGCATAGCTTGTCAGCAGCAGAGTGCTTGTCTAGTCTAAGCAATAACTCAGGCTCCATTCTCAGTACTGCCACTTCCTCCCAAGTAAATCTCTTTACATTTGTACAACATATTTATATGTCTATAAATAACAGATAGTATTATTTACCAGTTTTGATTTTATTTATATATTTTTGTGTGTATATGTGATGCATGTGCAGGTGTGCTTATCTGTGACTGCATCAATGTCAGTATTTCTCTATTGTTCTCCATCTGATATGTGTAAACAGGTTATCTCACTGAACCTGGTCCTCACTGGTGGCTAGATTGGCTAGCTAGCAAGCCCCAGTGATCCTCTAGTCTCTGTATCCCAACAGTGAAACTACAGGTACCTGCCACCATGTCTGGCTTTTTATGTGGGTGTTGGGAATCTGAGTGCAGGTCTTCATACTTTTGCATAGCAAGCAATTTACTTCATTGCAGCATCCCTGAAGTCCTGTGGCTTTAATCTTATACACATAGTATCATTTGTAAAAGTGTGATTTTCCTGAAACTTGCTATATTTCCCTTAATTCTATGTTCCTAGCAATTACTTATGCTAAGTGTACAGGAAAAATTATTTGTACCACTGTCTAGAATATTGATCAATCACTATTTGTTCATTTATTTGCTTGAAGAATTTAGGTTATTTGCTATTATTGCAATGCTCAAACATTTTCTCTTAATCCTTTTGTGCTCAGTGCTATAGAACTTGAAAAAATTGTAGGCTTGATCCTAGACTAATTGTGTCAGTAAGATCTGGGTTTTTTCCTGTTGTCTTTAAAGCTTCATGGCTTTTAGAATACAGAGAAAATGTAAGTTATTCTAAGATATTTATCTAGAAGTAGAACTCACTGGAATGTGTGCTTGCATATTTTGCCTTGACTCTATAAAGCACCGATATGTACTTCAGAGGGAAGATATGCAGGCATTTAAGCACTGGGCCAATTGTTGGTGTTTCAATCAATGAAAAGTGCTGCCAGTCTGAGAGTATGGGAAATAGTTCAATGAGTCAGTTGGCAATGTCTCACTGATCATGCCAACACTAGGGAAGTTGAATACTTCTCCTAAGTGCTTTATATGCATTAGCTGTATGTTTTCCTCTTATGAGACAGAAATTGAGTAGAGTTTTCAATAATCTAGTAATACTAAGAAGGAAATACATGGAAGGAAATCTAAAAAAATCATCAGGCTTTCTGCTGAAATTTCTGGGGTGTTATATCCTAGGAGAGGGGTCAAATCAGATAATGTCTTACCTATAACCTACTCAATTAGGCTATGTCAGTCATTAATTATGCTGATTAGCTCCTCAACTCTATCTACAATCTATCTACGAGGACATCAAATGGCATTCTGCCTTTAGCAGTTTTCAGGCAAATTAAACCCAGTGTGATATTACTATTTATTTGTAACACGAACTGAAATGAAAACCACAGGTAAGGTCTATAGAGCAACTGCATTAACTACTTTGGAAAACTATAGACAGCACCTACAAAAACTGAATGAATGTTACTTGATAAGTAAAGAACAAATAAGTACAAGTGAGAGAGCATGTCTAGCTATTACTCAGGAATTTTACTACTAAAAGTGCATAGGTCTGCTCCACAAGACATATTAAAGTACTTTTCAGCAAAGAACAAAATAACTTAAATGTCCAGCACAGGAAAGATAAATTGCTACCTACTCATACAACAACAAAACGAAAGGAACAAAACTATTATAACCACAACCTTATATATGTTCCATTATAAAACAGATTTTTAATGGGAGAAGGATGGGTAGTAGTTATTGCTGGGGAAGACCTCCTCAAATGACCAGAATTGGATGAGGTTCTAGGTTCTTATTTAAGGTAGTCTCAAGATCTCTCTCTCACCACACACCTACACCCACATCCATGAGCTTGAGTGCAGGATTACAGGTATGTGCTATACCATGCCTGGAAGATCTTTCTTTTTGATGGTGCCAAGAACCAAATCTAGAACTTGTACATGTTAGGCAAATGCTATAGTCCTACTATAGAGCTACATTCATAGCTAGCTAGTTTCCTGATGTAGGGGCTCCTCACACAAGTGTGTTCTTTGATACAAACATATCAAAGTTAAATACCTAGAACAAATTATTTTCTTTTAGAGGTATAGATGCTCAATAAAAAATTTGCTAAAAATGTAAGATTATCTTTTCTTTCTTTGGAGATATTTAATTTACCCCAACACCACTGTTTTTAATATTTTAACAACAGAGGCCTAATGACTATATTAATATATACAAACTTCAAATGATCATATAACAAATTACAGTTGGATGCAGTAATCCCATCTCAAAAAAAGGAAGAGAAGGGAAAGAAAAAGGGAAATCAAAGTATAGAAAAGTGGGGAAAGAAAATGAGGTGGGGGGTTCTAGAAAAATAAGCAAGTTATTCTGCCTTTCTACATTTATGCTGCCTAATGTGGCAACCACCAAACCCCCATATAGCTTCTGAACTCTTGAAATGTGTATATAAGTACTATAAGTATATAAGTATGTGTGTATAAGTACTATAAGTACTTGATATAAAAAAGGGTAACTGAAATACTAAATTTTTGTATTGATTAATGTTAGAATTATTTAATATATTGAGTTAAGTGAAGCATTCCTTTTCTCCTTCAATTTTCTTTCCATTTTCCTCACCCCATATAAAGAGTTGTAAAATGAATTCTATTGTTTTAATATAAATAATTACCGTGTGAGATTCCGGATCACAAAATATTCTTTCAAACACTTCTTCTGCTTCCTTAAAGCTGCCACTTTCCATACAAACAGCCACAGCCTTAAAGATGACAGATACAAACCTTAAGTTGCTTTTGAAGATGTCAAGCCATTATCTGACTAAGTGCATAGTTAATTCTGAACAGCAGTTTATCAATAATAAAATAATTATGGCTTGGGGCTGGAGATATGGCTCAGGGGTTAAGAGCACTGACTGTTCTTCCAGAGGTTATGAGTTCAATTCCCAGCAACCACACATGGTGGATCACAACCATCCTTTATGTGATCTGGTGCCCTCTTCTGGCACACGCTGTATACATGATAAATAGATAAATAAATCTTAAAAAAAAAAAAAAAAAGAATCTTATTTAAAAGAAACAAAATTATGGCTTAAAAAGTTGAAAAATTCTTGCTAGTCCTGTACACATTTACAATGGTATGTTCAGTATCTCTAAGCAGTAATTAATAAATAGATTAAAAGTGAATTTATTATCTGAAAAGACTACTGATCTCACTGCTCATTCCCACATGCTCTAACTGGTGGAGACCATACAGCTACCTCATAGAACTGTTATGTGAAGCGCATACAACAGTGTGGCAAAGAGACCATACACCAAATGGTACTGTCACCTCAACTGTCTAGTAGTGTAGTAAATAGTCAGCTTTCTTTAGAGTCCCAATGACTGTGAAAACACAAAAATCTCCTTTGTCTCAGTTGAATTCTTACAAGAAGCAGGCGTTTTTCTACCTGATGTTTTATCTCCAGGTCCTAATTTCATTGACAATCACACTAAGAAGGAAACCATCTTGGGTTCTCTTGTTCAACTTAAGAAAAAGAAATCTGTAAAACTTATAAAGCTAAGGAAAAACTTATTGAACTAAGGAAGTATTGCTTAAGCTGCAGGTAGATGTTTGACTTTTCTGGCTTCTTATTCTTAAGCAGTCTACTATAATTCAAGTCTTAGCATGGTTAAAATTTGCACACTCTGGCTCACAAAAGTCCACACATGGCATATGTGAGGCCCCGGGCTCTCCTCCGAGCCAGAAGTGACACCCTATGATAAACAAGCAAACCAAAGCACCTGCTACTTTTCCCCTAAATTTATAGTCCTTAGGTTAAAAAAAAGGAGAGCATGAATCCCTAGTTTTAAAGTTTGTTTGGTAATCTTTAAATAGCTACAGTGCTTCCTGCAACATACACCTAAATATGAAACATTAAGTTCTGGGCCTTGTGCTCATGTGAAGACTAAAGGCAAGGGTCAATGTTCTAAATGAAAAGATTAAGATTTTCATATAGAAAAAAAAAAAAAGATTTTCATATAGCACAACTTCTGACAGGTTATTCTGGATGTTATGTTTTCACATTTGTGATAGTTAATATTCACTCTCAAATTTATTGGACTTCGAAGCGTATTTCCAGAATGGACTAACTGAGAAGACCTGTCCTGAACATGGGCAGCACTATTCCATGGGCGATGGTTATGTTATGGGCTGAGTAAAAAGAAGTAAGCAAACACCAGCATTCCTCTTTCTCTGCTTCCTGACTGTGGACATAAGATGACAAACCACTTCATATTCCTATGCTATGCCTCCCCCAATATGCACTGTATCTTCTTAAATCATAAGTTTCTTCTCTGACATGTACAGGTGCCTGCAAAGACCAGACAGGGAACTGGAGTTACAGGTGGCTGTACACTCTTAATGTGGGTGGGGAAGTGAACTGCTTTTAACCACTGAGCCATCTCTATAGCCTCTCCTTACTGTGCTTCCTGTTAGGTATTTTGTTTCACCAATGAGAAAAGTATTGATACAATATTCTAGCAAAACAACAAGCACAAAATAATACTCATACCTGAATTTTAATTAAATCCCGTATTTCTTTATTAAGTTTGTCATGTTCCTTTTGAATTGAATCCCAAATCATCAGGGCTGATTCCAAAGGGGTAATACGTTCATCACTTTCAAACTGTGCATCTTTTAAAACAGAAAAGTAAATTAACTGGAAGTAGAACCTTAAAAACTTCATTCTTTTTTCAAACTTTCAACTATATACTACATGCAGGGAGTTTTCACACAGAACAGTTTTGGGAAACAACTTTCCTAAGTTAATTTGTACATACATACATACATACACACACACACACACACACACACACACACACACACACACACACACAAGAAAAATAAAACCACTGATCATAAAAATCAGAAACTCTTTATGTCTTTATTTTCTTATGACAAGGTCTTGCCATGTTCTTTCTGTCTTGATCTCCAGAGTGCTGGGAACACAGGTATGTACCACCACGCCTGGCTACCATTTTAAGCATCATGAAGGTAAAAATGCTTATTGGATCACACGTCTATTTTTTAAATTTTGGGGGCAGCCCCATATATATATGGGGGCTATATTCCTCTAAAGTTCTAGTTTCATGGCTGTTTTTGTTCATTTCAACTCAACTATACAATAAATGAATATATTCACGAGAATTTTAAAACTGGGAATAACTTCATACACTAAATATTACACCCATATTAGCAGTTTCAAAGATTTTAATTTTCTGTTGGCCTCTTTTGGCATTGCCAATTTATCAGATTTAAAAAAAATTATTAATTTATAATCCAAGTTGTGCTGAGTACTTAAGATACAAACACAAAGAAGAAACCACCATGCATGGGGACTCAAGTCTATAATCCCAGCACTTCTGAGGCTGAGGCAGGAACATCACTCACAATTCAAGCCTAGCCTGGGTGAGACCTTGTTTCAAAACAAAACAAAAAAATAAAAACAATTCCTGTCCACGTGTACTTCCATATCCATAAATGATGCAATGTGGACAAGCCAATGTAACTGGTACTTTCTTAGAAGTACATTACTATGCCAGTGGCTCTCTATGTTTGCTCTACTTCAGAATCATTCAGAAATATTCAATGGATGACTAGGTACATCTGGAAATTGTTTAAGCTCTAGAATATAACCTAGGGATACAGTTCAGTAGAACACTTACTCCGCATACATGAAGCCAAATGCTGTAAGAAGAAATAACAAAAAAAGGATAATGAGAAATAACAAAGAAATACAGACAGGATAAAGAGAACATTTGGGAAAGCTGAGATGGAGTATAAGGCAGAGGGATACAAAAGATATTCTTACTAATAATGAAAGCTTATTAAGCAACTCTCATTGTTCTCTGAAGTAGTACTAGAAACCTGGGAGAGGTCACACAGTTAAAAGTAGGAGAGCAGATACCAGGACCCTTACAGACCACTTACTATGTGTCTCAAAGAACAGGTCATCTCAGCAGATGGCATGACCCTGTACCCAAAAGACCCTAATAAGTCTACCACAAAACACTTGGACTTGATAAACCCTTCTAGCGAAGTAGCAAAACATAAAATCAAAATGCAAAATTCAATAGCTTTCCTTTATACCAATAATAAGTTTGTTAAAAAAGACACCAGAAAAAGAAAATCTTGATCACAATAAAATAAAGTACCTAGGATTAAACCTAACCTGGGAGGTAAATGATGTGTACAATGAAAAATTGAAGATACTTACTAATGAAGCTGAAGACACTAAAGATGAAAAAACCTCCCATACTCATGGATTGACAGAATATTGTAAAAAATAGCTATCATTATGGAAGTGATCAACAGATTCAATGTAATCCATAAAAATTCCACTTACATTTTTCATAGAACTGGGGAAAAAACCCTAAATTTCAAGAAGAAGAACAGAAAACCCCAATACGAAGCACAGTGGGCAAAGCAATAGGGATCACATAAACACCTTCCCTCTAACTAGGAAAACCATGTTGCAAAGGACAAGGAGTAGACATGAAAGCAATAACAATGAGGCAAACCAAAATTGTTAAGAGGGTCTCCTTGGAAGTGAGCTGCTAATTTGTACCTGTTTCCTGTTTTCTATCCTGGGCTTACTTTGGATGGGGTTTTGAAGATGTGGTAGAACAGGCAGTATTTTACAGGGAAAAGGGAAATAAGAAAAGCTTCTGATGGGTTCCTTGACATCAGGTTGGTAGACTAGAAACTACAGAAACTAGAGAAAGTACATGCCTGGCTTTTCCTCACAGTGTTTCTATTGTGGTGTAGGAGGCCTGGAAATTCCTAATCTTAGATCTTACACACCTGTAAGTCCCCGTGCTCAGGAGCTGTGGCAGGAGGACTATGAATTTCCGGGCATCTGGGGTACATAAAAGAAGTCCTTTGAAATGAGAAAATCCTGCTATAAACATTTTTTCCTCTTGAGATATCTTATTTTACAGCTCTGTGGGGCTGGAGACAGAAGCCAATATGGCAGCCACTACCTACTTATAAGCACTGAGCAGTTAAAATTCAACTAAAATAAACCATGAAAATAAAGGAGACAGATTACAATTACAAATTGTGTTTTCTTGTACAAGGATAGACATAAAGTTTAAATAGCTGCCAGTAAACAGTGTATGTATGGTAGCTGTCATCACTAAGTTATATAAGAAATCTCCAGGTATCTATGAAATGTAGTCCTCCCACTATAACATCTGAATCATCTATCTGGGAGTGAAACTCATGGTGAAGTAGAATGGCTCTATTGTTTTAAGAAGCCCTTTAAATAATATGAACCAGGCCAAAGTTTGAGAGTCACTGTTCTAGAAAGATAAAACTGTATTTCTTTATTTGCTTTAGATATGCTTATATGTATGCCAGATGCAGGTTGGCAAATGTTCTCTCCCCCGGAAAATATAGTGTCACCAGTTTCTTATATTTAAACATAAGTTAAAAGATTTCTATATAAAATAAAAATTTGTATTTACCAAGAGATTTTCCTGCTGCAATTCTTGTCAAAAACTGACAAATATATACAGTTCTCAATTGATAAGCTGTAAGACTGGGTAGTCCATGAATAATAGCTAAAAGAGAAAAGAAAAGACTTTTATTAAAATATTATCACAACTTAATAGCCACAATACAGTGTTAAGTATTAGATTACAAAGACTTGGGATGGCTATTCTTGGTTCTCAACTTGACTACATTTGGGATTAACTAAAAAAAAAAAAAAAAAAAAAAAAAAAAAAAAAAAAAAAAAAAAAGGGCTGGACACACCTATGAGTGATTTTTTTCTGCTTAATTGGACCATCTGAAGTGGGAAGAGCCACTTCTAACCAGAATTTAGGTGGGAAGACAAACCTTTGATCTAGATCTAGATCTAGATCTTTTGAGGTGGGAAGACCCACCTCTAATATGGGCCACATGTTTTGCTGGAAGCCTATATAAAGGACATGGAAGAAAGAAGCTCTTTTTGCCAGTTTTCTCTCACCATCAATAAACATTCCTTCACTGACATCAGGGCCTACTTCTTTGGGATTCTGACATATACTGAAGACCAGCTGAGACACCACGCCTCATGGACTTAATTACTGGGTTCTTGGACTCCATACATAGACAGCCATTATTGGATTAGCTGGACTACAGCCTGTAAATCATCCTAATAAATCCTTTTCTATGTATAGATTCATTCTATAACTTCTGTTACTCTAGAGAACCTTGACTAATATAACACTCAACAAAACTGATCATAAACTTGGAACTACAGAGTCTAATTATTCAGTTTTTTAAAATCAGAAAAGTTTTGTGCTTATACAATGTAACTCAATTGTGAAATACTTAAAATTGCTTTTACAAGCAGTACCAAAGATTTACATCTAAATTATAAAGTGTATCAAACTACTACTTTGAAATTTATACTATGAAATTTTTATTATTATAGGAAATATTATACATATGTCAAGGTTTCCATTGAGTTTGCTTAATTCATAAAGATTGACTTTTTTATTTTTTCGGTTTTTCAAGACAGGGTTTCTCTGTATTCTTATGTTTTGGAGCCTGACCAGGCTGGCCTCGAACTCAAAGAGATCCAACTGCCTCTGCCTCCTCAGTGCTGGTATTAAAGGCGTGCGCCACCAACGCCCAGCACAGATGGATTTTTAAAACACTTATTTCCCAAATATTTGAATACTCACAAAGATGCACTTGGCAGTGAATATATATACTGGTAAACCAACCATATTCCTGGATCTCTTTCACATACACAGGCCAGAGGATAAACGTGGGTCTCATTTTGGAGGCACTATCAAACTCTTCTTTTTTTTTAAGCATTTAAACAACAGATCTATTTTTATTTTATTTGTATGGGTATTTTGCCTGCATGTCTGTCTGTGTAACATGTGTATACAGTGCATGCTGAGGCCAGAAAAGAGCATTAGATACCCCGGAACTGGAATTATAGACACTATGTGAGTGCTATGTGAGCGCTGAGAATCAAGCCCAGGTTTTCTGGAAGAGTAAAGTGTTCTTAACTGCTGAGCCAGCCCTCCTCACTCACCTTCTCCCTTTTAAGACAAGGCCTTCCATTGGCCTGAAGCCTACCAAAGTAGGCTAGGCTGGCTGGCCATCGAACCTTGTCTTCCCAGTGCTACAAATACAAGTATGTTAAGTTTTTGTATGGGTTCTGGGGATCAAACTAAGATCCCTGGCTTGCAAGACAAGCATTTACAATCTCCCTAGGCATCCTCCCAAGTTCTTAAATTTTTCTATAGTCATCTGCTATAGTTTGAATCTAGAGTGCTTCCTTCTCAAGGCTGGAGCCACACACTTTCTAGAGAGACTGTAGAACTTTAACACATAGAGTCTTGTGCAGATTTTAGGTCACTGAGGGTGTCTTTTTAAAGGGGCTACAGGACCTTTATTCCTATCTCTCTTATACCCTGGCATCAAACAGTTTTTCTCCTTTGTAGCTGCCACCTTTGAAATCAGTGGGATGGCTCCCGGATACACTGCTCTTAACAGGGGTAGTTGAGATTATGCCTCATGTTTGAAAAATTGCCAGTGTAGCTCTTCTGCTCACTAGGAGGTGGGCGTCACCATGAGCGGATTCTTCACAGTTCCAGGCACAGAAACATTCAGAACAGTGCAAGATATACCTCTTCTTTCTATGGGCCGATTAAGTCTGATATATGTTACAATGACACAAAACTAGCATACTCCATATGTATTAACAGGAGTTCACCGTGATGTTTCCAACTCTTATCTATCACCACAGAGTAATCGTAGCCTACTCTCAACAGAAGTATACTGAAGTGACTTCATTCCAGGATTTAATTTTCTACTTAAAGTCACTTACCCATGCCTTGGCTCCAGCTTTACCTGTGAGGAAACTTGACTAAACTGTAACGTGACACAAGGATCGGGAGCACCCCTCGTAACCTATTAGCTCCTCAGATTAACCAATTCACTTCTCTATAAATAACTGGAGTATTATTATGCTGAGATGCAGTCTGTCAAGAAGGCTTGATGAGAATTTAGGATTAAATACTACATTTATACAATGAATATACACGGTCTTAGGAACGTTATCATCTGGCCGAGTTTGGCTTCATCACCACTGCCAGACTGTCCAGGGGACTTGCAAATTAACATAATGCTAACTGACAAACGGGTTTTGAGCTGACGACCCAGACTGCTGAACACCTCTAAAGGAACACCTAGATGGTAGGAGGCAGCGGCAACTGGACTGGCTA